TCGTTCCATTACACAAGTCAAATCCAATGTATTGTCGTACATGAATAAAAAAAAAAACCCAACTAGAATACTTCAGCGAATACGAAAAAAAATCATCAATTTATAAATCAAGTGTAAGTTTTATTGTTAGCAATAATCGATTCGTAGATGGGTTTGCTCCACGATTATCCCTTTGAACTCAGTACTTTAAAACACATTAAAATAAAATTTCTCAAAAATATCTGAATTGGATAAAAGAACAGCCATGACGTGTATAAAATAATTAAAAATTATCTTGATTGTTAAAAGGAAAATTACATTACTGGCAATATCATTAGGGTTTTGTATCTGGTTCCGTGTCTTAGCATCAGTAGAATTATCCCACACATTAAACTTGAATAAGAAATATATGGTGAGCTCTTGAGCTTGCAGCATGCTAGAACTCAAACGAGAACAATGAAGACCACCGAAGTGTTCTAACAGTTAAAATATTATTATATTTATACAATGATAAAAATACAAATTTAATATACAAAAACATATTTATTGAGAAGACAACTATAGATCTTAAAAGGAATTAATTTTATAATTTAAAAGGATATGAGTATAATCAGGCAAGAAAAAAATATGAGAATAATAAATTTTAGTGTTAGATATTTTTAAAAAATATATTTGTTTTGAAAAAATATTAAAATAATTTTTCAATATTTTATTTAATTTTAATATGTTAATATTAAAAAAATTTAAAATAACACTTTTAAATAACCCCTGTAGTACAATACCAAACAATCATTAATTACTCTTTCGATTGCACGACTGCTTGAGTACTTGGTTTCTCTGTAAAAATAATAACAATAATAATAATGGGCTGATAAAATAAGGTAACATTATTTTCAAAGCTAGCGTGGTCCAAAGTCTATGCAGCCTCGTCTCCTATCACCTACCGTTTTGTACATGGATCGATTGCTCTTTTGAAAATAATTTCTTCCCTAGTTGTAGTCCCATAAGAATCTAACTATTTATGGCACGAGAATTATCTTTAGTTAGGAATTTTCAATTTTTAAATTTCTCTGGCCCTTCGTGTCCTTTGGACTGGTAGCCGGTAGGCAACTGCAATAAAGGGCACACAGGGCCTAAAGGGACCTCCTTGATCGAATCATAAGGCTGTGAATCCACTATAAAGCTGAACCTGAATGTACTGAACCATTTTTCTCCCCTCATCGGACGGTTAATATGCACCCTGACATCAGCACTGGACCCATCACCTGTACAACACAGCGTGATCCGTTCCTTTATGATTGTGGGCCCATCCTTTTCAAAATTGCTCACCATGCGAAAGCCTTGGAAGGGTTAAGATTAAACTATATTTTAACAGTTGTAGATTTCGTAATGTTTTATTTCGGTCCTTTTAATTTAAATATTTATCAATTTCAGTCTTGGAGTTTCTAGGAAGTTCATTCGTGACCATTAGTTTTGGTTATTTTGGATGGATGTGCTGGAGAGAGGAATGATGAGAAAAGAAAATGAAAGAAAAGAAAGTGGAAAAAGAGAGGAAATAATCTATGATAAAATTATAAAAATATTTTTTTAATGCTGTTGTGCATACGTGTAATTGCTAGTGAGAGTACAAATATATAAAATCATTTCCTATCTTCATTATTTTCTCTTTGATTTTACTAGATTTTTTGGCTGTAGAATGGAGATCATGTTTTAAAAAAGATATATATTTGAAAATTTTGGTCATGTGCAAAGTTACAAAAACAAAGGATCTAGGCCAATAATAGCAACAAGATAATTAATTTTTTAATATTTTTTGACAGTTTTGATACATTAATTTTAAAAATAATTATTTTTATATATTTTTATATAAAAATATTTTTAAAAATAATTCCAATTACACTATAAAAACAAGTTAAAGTGTTTAGTCAATCATGACGGGTCAATGAAATTGATGGTCCTTGATAATCCTTGAAGACTCGGCATTACACTGCCATTGATGAAAAGGAATAACAATTATTTCCACTGTATCGATCCTAACAACAATGATTAAAATACCTTGCACAGTTAATAAAATTAATAAATTAAAAGCAATTCTTCCTCAGGTGATCACAGATTCTCAGTAGAGATACAAATGAACAACAATAGAAAAAAAGAAGAAAGAAAACAAAGATTTTTCATGCAATTCTACTGTGCTCTTTTTCCATATATTAATATGTATTGACACAATGTGATATTTTTTGATTAAAAATATATTAAAATATTTTTTTAATATCAATATGCTGAAACAAGAGAAAAAACATAAAAAATAATTTAAATTTTTTTTAAGTAAAAAAAAAATTAAAAGGGGAGGACACTACAATGCTAAACATGCTAAAAATATTTTCTTTTTATTTTATATTATCCTTTTTTTTTCTTTTTTTTCTGATGGCTTTCTTTTTAAATTTTCTCTCCTCCACTCTCCCTCCCCTCCATCTTCCCTTTTCCTTGACACAAAGCAAGGGTTACTGTGGAGGAGCACAAACACACAGGATCTTGGAAGAAAAATAAGACAACAAAAGAGTTAAATTGTAAGCTTTAAAGGCAATATTATATTGTTAATTGTTTGTTAGGCATTCCAAGGAGAGGGTTATATTAGAATTTCGAAAACCATAGAATTAATATTGGAAAGTTCTTGCAACTACAAATACCAAAATATATTTTCCCAGAAACCAAGTTACCTCCAGAAAGATTTCACTAAAAGGAGTGAAGGATTTGCTGTACCTTTTGTCTCTTGAATAGCAACTACCTAACCCTTCACCTTCCCCTTTCCTTCTCTGTTGCCCTTTTCACTTCACTTCACACTTCACTTCACTTCAAAACCCCCCACAATTTCCCTCACTTTCTCACAAACCAAACATGCATTCCCTCCTCTATCTCCTCCTTCTCTCTCTCACGCTCTCTCAAACCCTCTCCTCGCCAACGGAACTCGAACTCCTAATGGAAATCAAGGCTTCTTTAGACCCTCAAAACAGGTTATTGACATCATGGGAAACCAACAAAGACCCATGTGGTGGTTCTTTTGAAGGTGTGGCGTGCAATGAACTAGGCCATGTGGCTAACATTTCCCTTCAGGGAAAGGGTCTTCTAGGCCAAATACCAGCAGCTTTAGGCGGGCTAAAGAGTTTGACTGGTTTGTACTTGCATTTTAATGCATTGAATGGAGTGATACCAAAAGAGATTGCTGAGTTGAGTGAACTCAGTGATTTGTATCTTAATGTTAATAATCTGTCTGGAGAAATTCCACCCCAGGTTGGTAACATGTCTAATCTTCAAGGTAAGCTAAAGACAGTTAAGTATTTTTTTTAAAAAAAATATTGCAATATTTGTTTGTAGATTGTTCAGTTTTGTTTGAAAAATTCGATTTTTGTTCTTGATGATGCATGCTTAGCCTGTTATTGTATTTTTAAAAATATGGAAATACATAGCGAATCTCTGTAGTCTGGAAAGTTTCAATCCTGTAGTAGAATTTATGGTTCTCCGTCTCCCTTTTTAATTATTTAAATGTTTCTTGGTTATTTTATTTATTTTTTATTTCAAAGATTTAATTTACTTCCTCGAAAGCTAACATCTTGATTGCTCTTTCTCTCTGAAATAATCAACTCGCTTTCATTGGGGAATTCTTGCTCGTTTCCTTCATAAAGATTATTTCTTCTAGCTTATGGTGGGGTCAGTGCTTTAAAACAATGCCAATGCTGAACCTGGGATCTTTGTTCCAACAAATTGTCTTCTCCTGCATTAAAGTTATAGCTTGTAGAAAAACTTTAATTATGATTCTTGATTTGTGGAATTTCAAGGAGCCACTGCTACTAAATGGGGGATCTTTCGCAATTGAATATCAATCTCGCTTGCTTTGTGTACAGTTTTGCAGCTTTGCTACAATAAGTTGACTGGGAGTATTCCAACAGAACTGGGATCTCTGGAGAAGCTCAGTGTCCTTGCTCTGCAATATAATCAACTAACCGGTGCAATACCTGCCAGCCTGGGGGATTTGGAGTTGTTGTCAAGGTTGGATTTGAGCTTTAATGACCTTTTTGGTCCCATACCTGTAAAATTAGCTAAAGCTCCTCTGCTGCGAACTCTAGATATTCGTAACAATAGTCTCTCCGGGAATATACCTCCAGGTAACATGGTTTTCTATTGTTTGTTTGTTGATGTCAAAGGAAGGTGAAGGTGGAACTAACTTCTGATTTGACTTGTTTTTTCCTTTCCTTCTCACTTCTTATTCTCTGTTTTTGTGGCTGATAATGAAGCTTTGAAGAGGCTGACTACTGGATTTCAATATGGCAACAACCCTGACTTGTGTGGAGTTGGGTTTTCTAACCTTGAAACATGTGCGACTTCGGATCCTAATAGACCTGAACCTTCCGAACCTCATGTTGCCATGGAGAAGGACATCCCAGAGTCTGCAAACCCTTCTTATTGCAGCAAAAGTGACTGTTCGAATCTGTCCAAGACCCCAAGATATGGTATCATATTCGGCGTGATCGGAGTTTTCATTGCAATGTCTGTCACTGGGCTTCTGATGTTTTCTTGGCACCGTCGCCATAAACAGAAAATTGGAAGTGCCTCAGATACTTTCGATGGGCGGCTTAGCACTGACCAGGCCAAGGAGGTTTCCAGGAGGAGTGCCTCCCCACTTATTAGCCTAGAATATCCCAATGGTTGGGATCCCATGGCCATTGGTCGAAGCAAAAGTGGGTTTTCTCAAGAAGTTCTTGAGAGCTTCATGTTTAATTTAGAAGAGGTAGAGCGTGCAACTCAGTGCTTCTCGGAGGTGAATTTGCTGGGGAAGAGTAATTTCTCAGCTATCTACAAAGGCATCCTGAGAGATGGGTCAGCTGTTGCTATAAAGTGCATCACCAAAACAAATTGCAAGTCCGATGAAGCTGATTTTTTGAAGGGGTTGAAGATATTGACCTCATTGAAACACGAAAATCTGGTGAGATTGAGAGGTTTTTGCTGCTCAAAGGGAAGAGGGGAGTGTTTCCTCATCTATGATTTTGTCCCAAATGGAAACCTGGTGCAGTATCTTGATGTAAAGGATGGCAGTGGGAAGGTTCTTGAATGGTCGACAAGAATTTCAATCATAAATGGCATTGCTAAAGGTCAGTGTATCTTCTTGCTCGTAGAAGTTTCAGTAGCTGTTTTTCTTTTTTCCTGTTTCCTTCATTTTATCTTGATGTTGGCTGGACTTAGAAATGATTATTACTAGTGCCTTTACAAATATGTTATGGTGCATGAGGGTTTTTGGTGGGTTTGGACTTTGGAACTAACCATATGATTGACATAGATTATATAGTTTGTGATCTATTAAAGATAGATTGCAAATCTTATTGAGACAAATGCGTTTGTTGAAGTCGCACTAGTTTTATTTTATTATCTTGATCCATTTAACGATTGTTTAAGTGGACAGTGCAAATGATATGTGCGTGAAGTTGCATAACACCTGTGCGTTGTGAGCACGTAAATACACAATGCTAAAACCTCTGGGCCTATACTGAAACTTTGTTCCTTCCTATCCAGGTATTGCACACTTACATGGAAGTAAAGGAAATAAACATGCTCTAGTTCATCAAAATATATCAGCTGAGAAAGTGTTCATCGATAGATGGTATAATCCCATGCTTTCGGATTCAGGGCTGCACAAACTCCTTGCAGATGACGTCGTCTTTTCCATGCTCAAAGCCAGTGCTGCCATGGGATATTTGGCTCCTGAATACACAACCACAGGTCGTTTCACTGAAAAGAGTGATGTTTATGCGTTTGGCATTATTGTACTTCAAATCCTCAGTGGAAAACGGAACATCACTCAATTGACTCACCATGCAGCTGAAGCATGCAAGTTTGAAGATTTTATTGATGCAAATCTCGAAGGAAACTTCTCAGAATTAGAGGCAGCCAAGCTTGCAAGAATAGCTCTCTGTTGCACTAATGAATCTCCAAATCACAGGCCAACCATGGAAACTGTGATGCAAGAACTTTGTGAATCTATGGTCGCTGATTAGCTTATTTGAAATTACGGTCCCTTTGCCTCAATTTCCAAACAATAGGGAAGTTCTAGATCAGCCACTAACCACCACCTGATGTTGGACCTCCTTTACTAATATCTAACTGCACTGCCCTCTCTGGAGGGCACGAGATCTTGTGAACGTCGTGTAACTCTCTGGCCACTGAGCCGATTGTAATATCTTAGTGAGTTATATGAAATGAATTTAGACATGTAAGAAGTCAGTATCTGTTTTCTCAATAAGCAAGACTAGTTTTATTTTAGTTGCGTTCGAAGGTTTTGCAGGTTTACGTTGCTCGATATTTAGTGCACGCGAAACCCTTTGTGTAATTTTGTTGGCGATGTAGTTCTCGGGGTTCTCTTCCTCCATTCCAGTAACCAATCTTCACCGGCACAAAAAAATAAATGACCTTGCCTATCAACATTACCGTCTGCTTCACCGTCTGCAAGGTGCTATAGCTTTCCACAAAATGCAATGGTTGCTGGTTTGCAGCTCTCAAAAAACTTTCACTTTCCAGCTTGTCAGGAACCCGAACATGTGATTCCACGGAAAATATTGCAGAATCAGAAATGGCCCACCAATAAATGGACAAAATGGTGCTTAAAAGTAGAAAGAGGGGACAGCAATGTTAACCAAAATGGCGTATTTGAATTGAATACATGTATTTGTACTACAGATTTTCAGTATCTCATAACAACAAAGGGTCATGATAGGCTTGGATAGACTTTAGTCTACTTTTAACTGGATCTGACGTGACCATAAAAAAGGTTCTCGAAACAAAACGCTTGGTTTTATTGCTTTTTGCCATGGCTGCCTGTGAATGTTTCTTGTCCTCTTCATTTTTGTCCTTTATGTTTTCTTAACCCTTTCCCATGGTTACAGTGCCGTTTAATAGTAGGAAATATATTGGCTGCTCTGGCTCTGGCAAGTCCTCCACCCACAAATGAATGCTTTTCTGCTTTTCATTTTTGGGAACGCGGGTTGTACTGTTTCGCAAACTGACGCGAACGAAAACAGACACCTGAACTATGGTCCATGTGATTCTTATTTGATCAACTTTTTTTATTCCCCATTACTTGTCATTCTTGTTTATCAAGGGCCACAGCTGTGATTTTGAAGTGTGTGCAAAAACTTGTACCCATCAATCCACCAAGCCGGGGACCACACAATACACCACGTTTTCGCTCCTGAAGCACAGTTTTAAGCATGATCGAACGACCAAGTACGCTTCGCTATAGGGCAAGGTTTGAATCCTTAATTTGTCGATTGCCTGGTTCGAGGGTTCTAGGTTTGTCCTGTGAGAAATCGAGCTTCAAAGAGTCAAAACAACTTGAAGGATTTGTTTGTTTGATTAGGGGTCATGGATCTTCAGAAACACTTACTAAGCGAGTATACTGCGACTGCAACTTGTGCTTCCGCCCAAGGATGTAAAAACAACCTGAACTTGGAGGCTCATTTTCTTAAACTCTAAAGAAAACTTTGAGCTGCTTCATCGCAAGGACTGGCTATGTATAGTTACAGAAGTCCGACCATAATGAACCATGATTTTGAATAAATGCACGATCGTAAAATACATACTGCGGTTTTGGAAGCTAGCCAGACAGAATTTGTCCAAGGCATGCACAAGAACATAAACATGTTTGGTGATCAAACTAGTGTACAGCAGAGTTACATTTTGACATTTTTACAATAGCTATGCTCTGAAGTGGCCATTGATAGGCTATCCAATATGGAATAGATCCCTGTAACTTGAGGATGGGATTTATCTTGCACAAAAAATGCATGAACAAGTCCCTCTAGTTCAATCCAACTGCAGCCAGGAATTTTCTTCAGGTTTTTTTCCTTCATCATTGCCCTAACCTTGCGGACATCGTTCCATTTACCAAGACCAGCATACATATTTGATGCGAGCACATAAGAACTTGGGCTTTGAGAATCTAGCCTCATTAGATTCTCAGCTACAGGCTTTCCGACATTAAAGCTTTCATGCGTTTTACAAGCACTAAGCAAACTCCTCCAAATCACATCATTCGGCTCAACAGGCATTTCCCCTACAAAATTTTTGGCTTCTTCTATGTATCCTGCTCGGCCAAGAATGTCAACCATGCATCCATAGTGTTGCAGTTTTGGCTCCACCTTGTGAACTCTTCTCATAAGCTCAAAACACATCATACCTTCTTTCACCAATCCAGCATGCCCACAAGCATTTAACAATCCGATGAACGTTATATCATCTGGTTCAACTCGCATCCTCTCCATCTCCATTAGAAAATCAAACGCCATTTCACCCAAGCCATGAATGGCCAACCCTCCAATAATAGCATTCCAGTGATCAACACTTTTTCCTTTTATGTTTTCAAATACCATCATGGCGTTCTCTATACTGCCACACTTGGAATACATGTAAATGAGGCCAACGCCAAGTCTCCCATCCAAAGAAAACCCAATTTCCTCTATAAAGCGATGTATTGCTACCCCTTTGTCAATATGTCCTAATTGAGCAATTGCTGAAAGAGCAATCAACAGTGTAGCATTATCAAGCAAAATATTACCAGCACTTAGCATACCATAAAAGATACCCAAAGCTTCCATACAATATCCATTTTGTACATAACCACCCATCATGGCATTGCATGCGACGACATCTCTTTCGGGCATTTCATCAAACAAACATCTAGCAATATCAACCCTTCCGTTCTTGGCATACCCATCAATCATATTAGCCCAACTAACAATATCCCGGTTAGGCATCCTATCAAACAAACACTGAGCATCTTCCATCCTCCCACATTTCACACAACCATCAATCATCGAATTCCAGGAAATCAAATCCCTCTCAGGCATGTTCTCAAACAGCTGCCAAGCAACCAAAATTCCATCCTCAGATTGCGCATATCCACGTATCAACGAATTCCAAGAAATCAAGTTTCTTTCCTCCAATGGAATACAATCAAACACCACACGTGCCAAGTCAATTCTCCCACCTTTAACATATCCATCAATCATCGAATTGTACGAAACTGAGTCCCTTTTTGGCATTCTATCAAACACTTGGCGGGCACGTACAAGACACCCGCATTTTACATAGAAAGAAATCAAACAATTTTGCAAAAACAAATCAGAGCCAAATTCCAATTTCTTCAAAAGCCCATGAATCTGCATTCCTTCCTTAACCAGACCCACTCGAGAGCACGCTTTCAAAACCAGAGACAACGTGAACTTATCAGCAAAAGCCCCGTTCTCAAGCATTAAAGAAACAAGCCACAAAGCCTCTTTCGGGTCATGCCCATGAGAGTATGTTTTGATTATAGCATTCCAAAGAAAAGGGTCTTTCTCTTCTTCCTTTTCATCGAATTCAAAAGCGTGATGTCTAAAGAAAATGAAGCGAGCGAATTCAATGAGAGGTGCGTGTAGCGAAGTGGAGAATGAAAGTATGATTTTGGTGGTTAGAAATGTGTTCTTGATAAACCCCGTTGTTAGCAGTCTTGCATGGATTTGATTAATGTCACTTAATCTCTTGCATTTCTTGAGGAGAACTAAAGTTGGGATTGCCGAATTCCATGGTTGCTGGTTTAAATTTGCTGAAAGAAGCATTAAATTGAAGTATTCCTCAATCTGTAATTCAATCTTTGAGAGCTGAAACAGCAGAACATCTACGAGACCTCATATCCCGTGTTAAGCAGATGATTTTTCATTGGATAAATTACACTTTGATACACCGTCCTTTCACCGTCTCTCGTATTTTTGTTTTGGTACATGATCTTTTGAGGGTTCCAATCAAGTATTTAATTGAAAATATATTTTGAATCCTTTTGTTTTCAATGACATGGTTGTTGATTTTTCACCGATTAGCTTCAAATTTGGATTAGTTTTTTGTAGGAAAAGTTACATCCAAAAATAATGTTGCATTTAATAAATGAAAATATTTTAAATCAAAGCAAATCAAAACCAATCCTGTTGTTTTAGCTTGATGATGCAATATTAAAGAAGCTTTCCTTGTGTTTTATTTATTAGAAACCATTTCATTATACCTTCGTTCTTTTTCAGTGTTCTAGATCTCATGCACTTTTAATCTTGTTAGCTCGTGTATGGAATTTCACCGTAGGACTGGAATATTATGGCAAGTCCGATAATTAAGATTTCTAATTTGATAATTTTTATTTAAGTTAAATTAAAAAAAAAATACAAAAACCAAACTAAACATCACCTAGAATCATATCTAATGTATTTTGTACGGTAGCCATATATTTTTTTAATTATAATAAATGTTGAGGTTAATTTGTGTATATATCAACTAATTTTACGAGTTTTAAAATTAATAATTATATAAATCTGTAATTATTTTAAAATTTATAAAACTTAAATTTGTGATTTTTAAGAAGTAAATCTAGAATTTGATTAAAATAAACCATTTAGAATTCTATGGATATATAATTTTTTTATTAACATAAATGTTTAGGCTAACTTGTATATATCTTGACTAATTTCATAAATTCCAAAATTAATAAGCATGTAAGTTTTTGATGGCTATAAGATTTGTGATTTGTGAGTAATTATACATTTAGTGCACATAAGTGTGTATTTTCATCTTTTCTTCAATTGAGTGTTTTTTTTTTGTTTTAAAAAGTATCTATGCTTCCATGTTTCTTCAAATTTATTAAATTATCGATGACGTGTCCATTAAATAAAACCACCATTCATAAAGTGAGAAAAAGCCAGGAAATCAAAATCAAATTCTTAAAATAAAAGGAAAAGAACAATTAACTAATGAAGATGTAAATTATGTACATAGGAGGAAAATTCTCCATGGTCATGTAGAAACCTTAAAGAACTATAACCCAATAGGAACAATAAAATAATAGTAACAATAAAATTCCCCCCCTGCTCAAAGGACTGTCGCTAATAGATTTTAAAGAAGACACTCAATTAAAATAAATAAATAAATAAATTTATAAACACTTGAGTAGAAAAAATAAAAATAAAGATATATGATTGAAAAAAATAGAAAACACAAACTCAAGTTTTTATTTTTATTTCTTTATGTAAAATGAATCCCATAATAAGAATGCTCTTATTCATTAGCAAGCATATCATCAACAACCTAGTAGATTTTGAAGGAGACACTTGGTGGTTAGAAATGTGTTCTTGATAAACCCAGTTGTTATGGGTTAGGTGGTTAGAAATATGTTCTTGATAAACCATTTCTCTTTTCTAGATAAAGTTGGTTTCTTTAATTTGACATTTTCTCTGCCAATTTTAAGTTTGGT